TAATGACCAGGTTGGACCACGACGGAATCTTGTGCGCAATGCGGGGTCCCTCAGAAGTCAAATGGCCATGCATGGCAAATTCTATTGGTAATCGGAGTTTTTTTTGTTGGATTCACGTTTGCTCAAAAGTTTCTTGACGCAGTCCAAAAAGAGTCAATGCAAGATCATCCAGTGCCACCCGAACATCTCTCCCAGGACTCACGTCCGCATTAATTCTTGGGAGACGGGTACGTCGTCGTGCCCACTGCATGCTCAAGCTGACTGAAATGAGGGCTAAAACTTTAATATGATGCCTGTCAAGTCGTACCAAATATCATTCTATGAAGACCAAAGAGTGCATGACGCTCTCAGGGAGTAAATGTCCGGGAATGCGGGGTTAACACCGCATTCTTACATCATTCCGAAGCCCAGTCGTAAATGATGCTGTCATGATTACATGCTCACATCAAGCAGCCCAAAGATCATGTCATTTTCTTTTAATCTTCACAATGCCACATAAACTCCTCGTAAAATCCCGTACTTCTGATTCCAAAATTAAAATTCCAACGCACAAGACCTTGTATCACTAGTCATCCTTGCCATTGAAGTCCATCAAGCAAACCTTGGAAATGTCAGGTGGTGAAAGCGGCCAATTCAAGCCCGTGGAAGAGAAGCAAGCTCAAAGCCTGCCCGGGTATGTGATAGTCGGAGTGAAAGGACGTGTGCCTCGCAGACAACTGTCTAACCCAATAGTTCGCTAGCCGAGAGCAAGATCTCGCGCCAAAGAGCGAGCCCACCAAGTTGGAAGGCAAAAATGATTTCCAGGAGTACCGTGCAGCTAAGAAGCTCGAAGGAAGCAAAGCTCTAATCACTGGCGGAGAGTAGGCACAGTTCATCTCCCCTCAACTTTATCGTGGCCTAACAGCCAGCAGCTCGGGCATCGGCCGGTCCGTGGCCGTCCTATTCGCCCGAGAGGGTGCTGATGTGACAATCGTCTATCTCCCAGACGAACAGGATGATGCTGAAGAGACAAAGCAGCTCGTTGAGAAGGAGGGCAAAGACTGCCTGCTCGTTGCTGGAAACCTTATGGAAAACGACACTTGCAAAAACGCGGTTCAGCAGCATGTCGATAAATTCGGCAAGATTCACATTCTGGTCAACAACGCTGCGAAGCAGGTTATGTGCGAGGACTTTAGGGATATCAACCTTGACGATGTGGAGAGCACGTTCCGCAGTAACATTCTCCAGATTTTCGCCATCACGAAGTACTCGCTGAAGCACATGGAGA